TGATCTATCAGTAGCCAACGTGAAGGTGATAATGGAGTTAAGCCCTATGGATTTAGTTGATCAATGGTATGAAACTCAAGATGAAGTTCGAGAAGATTGCATTGTGGATAATGCTAGTAAGGTAATTCCTGAATCACTTGTATGATTGCCTGGTGTGCACTGCCTTTTCCTTTCTTTAGATATGTCATCTATGAATCTTCTATCTTGGAATTGTAAAGGTGCTGCCTCAAATAATTTTGTTCGAAGGTTAGTAGATTTATTAAAAGGAAGAAATATTAATTTTGTTATTCTAATTGGGACTAGAGTTTGTGGTGCCAAAGCAGATGGAATTTGTGTTAAACTAGGTTTCAATAATTGGATTATAGTTGAATCTAGGGGCTATACTGGTGGGATTTGGATATTATGGAATGATCATTGCTTCTCTGTTCAATATGAATTCTCCTCTACTTAATTCGTTCATCTAAAAGTTACTGAGATTCAATCTAATAAATTTTTCTAGGTTATTGGAATTTATGTTGAACCTAATCCACGGGCTCGTTTAGAACTCTGGGAGGATTTAACTAGGCTGAATAAGTTGGTAAGAGAGCCTTGGCTGGCTGTGGGTGACTTCAATTCTTATTTATCTCCTGAAGATAAATATGGTGGGTCAGAACTAAACTTTAGATCTATGCAGCAATTTAATAATTATGTTCATTCATCGATGCTTCAAATTGTAGAATGTGTTGGGGAAAGTACACTTGGGAACATAATTTACTCAAAGAAAGGATTGATTGGGCATTTGTTAATTCTTCTTGGTGTAACTTATTTCCTTGCACATTGGTACATCATCTCTTAAAATTTAGATTAGACTACAGGCCCTTACTTGTTTTTACAGATTGGGCATCCTTTCAACATCAGAAAAGTTCTTTATTCCACTGCTAAGCTGCTTGGGTGCTTGAAGAGGGCTTTATTGATATGGTCAAAGATGCTTGGTCTACAGGAGGTTAAAATGATAAAATAAATACCTTTATTGCTAAAGTGAAGGAGTGGGATCAAGACAAAGTTAATAATATTAGGGTGAAAAAGAAAGGGACTCTTAATAGAATTAAAGGGATTGAGAGGGCTCAAAGTAACTGTGACAATCAGTTTTTAGTGGACCTTGAAAAGGAGTTATGGGTTGAGTATAATAAGATTTTAACACAAGAGGAACTTATTCGGTTCCAAAAGTCTCAATATAATTGGCTTAAATGGGGAGCCAAGAACAGTAAATTTTTTCATGCTTCAACCTTAGCTAGAAAAAGATGAAATAGGATTGAAGGATTGAAAAATGACAATGAGGAGTGGATCTTCGACCAAAAAGAATTACAATAAATGGCTATCAATTACTATAAGGCTCTTTTTGAGAGTAGCAATGCTCAAGCTCCTCCTTTGATAATAAGACATCAGTTTCCTAGGCTAAGTGGTAAGGAGTTGGAAGAACTACATCATGAGGTTAGTAATATGGAGATTAAGGAGGCAACCCTTGATTTAGGACTTTTAAGGCTCCAGGACCAGATGATATCCAAGCATTCTTTTATTAAGAATTCTGGCATATAATTGGTGAAAACATTTACAGTTTGGTAAAGCAATTATTTTCTAATCCCTTTAACATAGAAAACCTTAATTCAACCCATCTGGTTTTAATCTTGAAAGTTAAAGTTTTGAAGACTATGAAAGACTTCAGACCTATCTCATTATGCAATATGAGTTATAAAATCCTTTCTAAGATGTTGAGCAAAAGGCTTAAAAAGGTTATGAATACTCTTATGGGCAAGCATCAGTGCGTCTTTATTGCTGGGCGATAGAGTAGTGATAACATTATTATTGCCCAAGAGGTTATACACACTATGAAGCTTGTAAAAAGAAGAAAAGGATTAAGGGCAATGAAAGTTGATCTTGAGAAAGCTTACGATCAATTGGAATGGGGGTTTATCCATGATACACTCCAAAGTATAGGCCTGAATCTGAATCTATATAGGCTTTTCATGGCTTGTATCAAAAGTTCAAACTTCCAAGTGTTATGGAATGGGTGCCCATCTGAGAGCTTCTCTGAGAGCTTCAAACCTTCATAGGGAGTCTGACAAGGGGATCCTATATCTCCTTATATTTTCACTTTATGTATGGAAAGGTTGAATCACATGATTGAGGATGTAGTGGAGGACTATCGATGGCAACTAATCCTAATTATCCTAGGGGGTACAAAAATTTCTCACTTGTTCTTTGCGGATGATTTAATTCTTTTTGGTGAAGCTTTCTCTTGTCAGGTAGATACTATCCTTGATTGTGTTGTTAAGTTTTATGATGTTTCTGGCCAAAAGATGAACAAAGCTAAAAGAAAAATCTACTTCTCAAATTCAATTCACTTTTCTAGAGCTTTTGAGCTAAGTTGGAAATTGGGTATGGGTCTTATTGGAGACTTGCTAAGTATTTATGCATTCTTCTTATTCACAAAAAGGTGTCTTATATTCTTTTTGCACCAATTCTTGATAAAATGCATACGAAGTTGTCAAGCTGAAAGGGACGATTTTTAAACATGGCAGGGAGAACTACTCTTATTAAAGTCGTACTATTTGCTTCACCCACATGCCATATGCAAACAATGATACTTCTAAAGTGGCTAATAAATGAGCTAAATAAGAAGAGTAGAAGTTTCTTGTAGGGGGAAGATGATAGTAATAGGAAGTTATACCTCATATCCTAGGATAACATTATTAAGGACAAGACAGAAGGTGGGCTAAGTGTTAAAGACTTAAAGAGACAGAATGAGGCTTTTATAATGAATCTCTGTTGGAATCTTTGTAATAGTAAGGATGCTTTATGGGTTCAGGTTCTAAAAGTGAAATATAAGTGCGGTAACAATTGTGTGCCTAATGTTGTCAAAAGGAGGAACTTGTTGTACACTTGGAGAGGGATTTGTAAAGTATGGGACAGATTTAAAGAAGGACTAAGGAAGAAAATTAGAAATGGAAGGAACACATCTTTTTGGTTTGAGAACTGGTTTATGCTTAATGTTCCTCTAATAGATCTTATGGTTAGTAGGGAAGAGCTCGTTAATAGAAATGAAAAAGTGGTGGACTATATTGATAATATAGGGTAGTGGGATTTGCAGAAGCTGAATGCTTGTCTCCAGCCGAACTTAGTGGCCTATTTGACCTGTGCTCACCCACCTAATGAGGATAAAGGAGAGGATAAATACCTTTATAAACCATCTATTGATGGTTATTTTATTGTGAAAGTTGCATATTATTTTTTGTCTGTAGGTACTAGGAGGAACTCGAACAACATCTGGAAGTAAATTTAAAGGTGGTCTGTGCTAGAGAAAACCAAATCTTTTACATGGCTCTTTTCTTATGGACGTGCACATACAGTTGAATTGAGACAAAAGAGGGGATTAACAAGTGAGTAGATTTGCCCATTTGGATGTGTGCTGTTGGAGGACTCCATACACTTGATTTGAGATTGCCCACATGCTGAAGCTATATAGAAAGCTGTAATCAAGGAAGATTACTGGAATAATTTTAGTAACCTGACTGGAGTGGAGTGGGTAAACTAGAACCTTTCTCAAGAAGCTGGCAAGAACTTCATGAGTAAGGTAAGTTGGAGTACCCTCTTTGGATATCTTTGTTGGGATATTTAGGTTGATAGGTGCAAGAAGGTTTTTGAAGATCTCAATGATACTCAATTACATTTAGCACTCAATACTTTCTTTAGAGCGTGTTCGGATGGTGATTTGGCTAGACTAGCACCTTTTCTTACCTATGATCGCATGCGACTTGGGGCTAGTAACCAATTTAGAAGGAATGCTTTCAGACTTGAAGTGGATGGATCTGTTAAAGCAAATAGTAATAGTGGCTGTAGTGGTATTATTTGAGATACTAATGGTAATTGGATTAAGGGTTTTAGTTGCAACTTTTCAATGTTCCCTTTGCAATTGTAAAAATTCTTGCCATCATACATGGACTTCAAATGTGCTAGGCATGTGGTCTTAAGGAAGTTGATATTTATTATGATTGTGTTGAAACGATTAAACTGATCCAAGAAGGCTGTATGGATACTCATCCATTCAAATTGATGATGTTAGGTTTTTGTATTATAGAGAGTGCAATTTAACTATCCATCACCTTTATAGGAATCTCAACTCTTTTGCTGATACATTAGCTAGAATATCTCACAATTTGGATAACAATTTTTGTATCTTTGATCAACCTCCACCTCTGATACAAGAAACGATGGTTAATGAGAGAGATCCTCTTACAGGTCTTTGTATTTTATAAACCCATAATTTTATGATTGCACTTTTCAGTAAAAAAAAAAAAAAGACAATTATGGACTTGGCTTTCCTTTACTGACACAACACACCCATGTAGCTCCACTGCATTTTGAAAAAAAATTGAACCATCTCAATAAATATGAATTATTTTAATTTTAATTTTATTTTTATTAAAATAAAAATTTTATAAATAAATTTAATAAATTTGATCTATCTGAACAACAGCTTCAATATAAATGACCTAAATTTAATGTTAAAATTTTTATAATTTTTACAAACTGATTATCTGAATATACTGAAGACAGTATGTATTTAATATTAAAATTTTTATAAATTTTATAAATTTTAAATTGTAAATTCAAACCATCTATATTAAACCTAAATTGTCTAAATTAATAATTAAATTTATTAATTTTTTATAAGTTTAAATTATTTATATTAAATATGAACTATCTAGATTGATTATTAGATTTATTGAAAAATTTTATAAATACAAACTATTCATATTAGATTTAAAATGTTCAGACGAGTCAGATTTATTAAAAATTTTATAAATTTTTTATTTTAATAAATATAAAATTAAAATTAAAATTAAAATATTAAATCTAAATCATCTAAATTTTATCTCAACGGTCCAGATTTTTCTCGAAATGCAGCGGAGCTGGAGCGGAGCAAAGCCAAGTCCGACAATTATGCTGAAGCCGAAGAGATGGTATAGTTTTCGTCCACTCTTTGAGCTCAGTGTGTCACTGTACAATACGCGAAATGCTTCTCTCTGCAAGCACCACTTCTTTGCCCTCTCACTCCTTCTGCAACCACCTTCTCTGCTCCAATTCTCTCACCACCAACCTCCTTCTCCTCTCAACCAGCACTTCCCGGCCCCACGTTTTCGCTCACCCTCGACCTCGACCTCTCTTCCTCCCCAACGCCTCCGCGTTCCCTTCGCCGCCTCCTCCCTCCGACACCTGCTTCCTCCAAGCTCTAAACCCTAACCGTGATCCTAATTCTGATACGCTTCGCCATGTTGTTCACACAACACGCCCTGATGATGATGATGATTGCGGTGGTTCTGAACAGACTATGGTGGCTTCCGCCTCCGCTCTCGCCTCCGCTATTCGTAAATCTTCTACTTCCTCTGTCGAGTTCATCCAGCGGATTGAGAAGGACCCGAAAAGCGGAATGGTACTCCCTAGTCCTGATTTTCAGAGACTTTGTGTTGAACAACTTGACCTCTTTCGTAGGATATTTCCCGACGCTCTGCTCTCGGTTGGCCTCTCTTTTTTTCTATTTTTTGGCTTCATTTTACTTGCCGTTAGTCTGGTGCTTCTGTTTGTGTAATGTTTATGTTTTTCCCCCAGGTCTATGTAAGACCAGCTGGTAGCTATGTGATGGATCGTCTGGAGTTGCGGAGGGTTTCTCTCCGCCCTCGAGATGCAGATGACATTGTTATTTTAGTTGGTCATTTTAACATTCCAACAGGCTTACGTTCTGCCGAAGCTGCGCTTTCAGATTTGCAAGTACGATGATTCTTGTTCTTCTTTTTGTCACTCTCAGATAATCATTGATTGAATTTGTGATGGATGTGAATCTGAATTCTAGGTTGAAGTTATCCCTGAAAGTAAGGCTGTAATATTCCCAATGGTCAAACACCCATTTGTTGTTGGTTTCTTGGTTGCCGAGCTTCCACTAATGGATATTGGAACATTTGAGCAAGCTCATAGAGATGAGCGAGATATAGGCCTCTCTGTTGAGAAAACTCATTCGTTGCCTACTGTTTTGGATGGAAAACGTTGGCAAATTCAAACTTTTCAGGTCAAGGATAACCCTATCATAAGGGGATTTTTCACTGACGAGCAATTATCAAATGCTGTCAACATTTCACGTTCTCTAGCTCTGGCACATGTTATGGATCAGGTGAATTGCATGTGGCATTTTTATCATTGCAGTTTGTTCTTTGCTCTGGACATGGAATACTGGGAAGCTATGGATTTTTTTTTTTTTAGTTCATAGCAGTTTATTTCAAACCTCTATTTCATCCTTCTGCTACTGGATTCTGCAGTTTGAAATTATTGGGTAAATGCCCCGCTCCCTCACACTAAATGTAAACTTTGTTGACAAGAAAAAATGACATTAATACACAAATCATTCATGTATTGATTGTTTAGCATGCAATGCAATTAATTGATTTTTATCTGCTAATTGTGTTATAAGTACTTCTTTTGATGTTTGGCCTGTTAGTCCTTTTGCAGAAAGCAATGTTACTTCAGCAGTCAACATGGCAAAATAATGTCCGGATGAGTAATCTAGTCGAGCAAGTATGCCTTGCTTTGCTGTTTTTTCATTTTTAAATTTCGCTTAATTTGTTTAGCATATCTTAATTTTTTTAACAAAAAACATTCAAAGCAGATCCGGGGTCCTCTTTCCAGTATTCAAACTTTAAGCAAAATCCTGTCCTCTCAAACAAAGAGAAGTGAGGTTTGTATATTACTTAAGTCATACTTTTTTTTTTTTAATTAACTTAAGTCACGCTTGATCTAACATGAAATTACATACACATACATAGTCATCATGTTTGTATGCATGAGTGGGAGCAGTTCTATTTTATGCCCCTTATAAGTTCATGCTTGTATGGGGTAGGATCAAATGACATCAACAATTTTTCTGCTATTTAACAACAGTTTCGGTGGAATAATTTTATGAAATGTAAAAATTGGATCACACAATTTCGTATGCTCAATTAATAAACCAAATTTAAGCAAACCGGAGATTTAATTCGATATCTTTGTTTGTTCAAAGGGAAGTGCATGTTTGTGAGACCTTAGTCAGGGTGAGGCTTATTTTGGTTGTGTTATAATTTATAAATGCCCTGGGTTTTAAAGTTATCTTCTTTTAGTTTTAGGACATAGAGATTATATGATTGTATGCTAGAAGAAAAAATATAAATAGCGATGGTTGGTTTAAACATGAAAAGTGTGTGTATATCTTCAAGTTTGGTTGTGTGCATTGTGTTGTGAATGGTATCTTAGCCAGCAGAAAAGATGAGTGTTTTATAAGTTGAAACTCAAGAACGGTTCTCTATATTTTGTGGCATATTGAGTATGTATTAAAAAGGTAGTCTGGCAGGTCGCACATGACATTGTTGAAGACATCCTTTTGCAAGGTGATCGTCTGAGAGATGTCCTTGGACAACTCCAGGATGCTGTTCATATGACCAAGGTACTCCTCCTCCCTCCCCTTTGTATGCTCACTCTTACACTACATACACTACACTTGATGCCTCTTTCATTTATGTCACATCTTTTCATATCGTTGTATCTCTTACTCCATAGATATATAGAGAAGAAACCTCCTTTATTGATTTATTTATTTATGTTTACTCTTTTATGTCCCTGGTAACTTGTCAATCCATGAGAAATTGTCATGATTCACAACACAGCTAAGCTCACACAGTGGCTTATGTTGTTAAACATGGTAAAGGCAGTGGTGATTGGTGTTCTTCTGATCTGACTTAGGAGAAAAATGTGGGTTTCTCACCACTAGATGGTTGGGTAGTTTTGACCTCTGAAGAGGTTGGGCTTTCTCACCATTAGATGCATGTAGATATTGTTCTGGATTTTAAAAATTAGCACTTTTGATGTTCTTTTTTCCCCTTTTTTGGTTATACTGTCTAGGCAAACATACTGCGCTACAATCAAGAAGCAATCAAGAAAATGAATGGTTCAACTAATATACTTGCTGAGTCTCTAAAACCTGAGTGTGATGACTTTCCAAGGGATGATTCTGGAAGAAAAATGCATAAATCTAGCGAGTCACATTCTCTAAGTGCTGCTGTCAAGGATATAGAGATGCCCTTGCCGCCTTTTGCTCTTGCTCCATTGCAACATGGAATTAGGTGGGTTTCAATGGTGGATTAATGAATATGCTTGGGATAATGAAATTTTTTATCCCTTAAATTTGCTTCAGTTATTGATTTGATTTTTGAAGTTTAATTTTTATCATTCAAGTCTTGAAAATTTCATAACCATGCATAATTAGTTCTTATGGTGTTCTTTCCCCTTTATGATTCAAAGGAAAATCAATATCCTTTGCTTGCAAGAAACAAAATGGCGTGGAGAAGAAGCTAAGGATATTCAAGGTTTCAAACTTTGGTATACAGGAAAAGTAAGTGCACGCAATGGAGTAGGCATCATTATAGATAAGGAGTGGAAGAAGAACGTTGTAGAAGTTAGCAGAATTGGAGACAGAATTATTTCTTTAAAAATGATAATTGGACGTGAGACTGTTAATATTGTTAGCGCTTATGCGCCGCAAGTCGGGACAGAAGCCAGTCTTAAGGAATTATTTTGGGAGGATCTGGAGGGGTTGATTCGACACATACCACAGAGTGAAAAGATTTTTATTGGAGGAGACTTTAATGGGCATGTCGGGAGGGAAGCTGGTCAGTATGCGAGGGTGCATGGTGGTTTTGGTTTTGGAGAGCTAAACAATGAAGGGCAAACTCTTCTTGATTTCTCATTGGCGTATGATTTTAAGATTGCCAACACTTGTTTCAAGAAGAGAGATGAGCATCTCCTCACCTACAAAAGTGGAGCCTCAAGGTCGCAGATTGATTTTCTTTTGGTTAGGAACACAGATAGAAAACTTTGTAAAAATTGTAAGGTGATCCCTGGAGATGCTGTAACGACACAACATAGGGTCCTAGTTCTTGATGTGTGTATTATGAGTAAAATCCAAAAACGTCAACAAGTAGTAACACCAAGGATTAGGTGGTGGCAATTAAAAGGTGAGAAGCAAGATATTTTCAAGCGAAATCTTTTGGATAAAGGAATTTGGGATTCTCAGGGAAGTGCTAACATCATATGGGAGGATATGGCTAAAAAGATACGGGAGGTTGCAAAAGTAGTTTTGGGAGAATCGAAAGGTCCTGGTCCGAGAGATAAGGAGTCTTGGTGGTGGAATAATAGTGTACAGGACAAAATCAAGTATAAGAAGAACTGTTTTAAAGCCATACATTTGTGTAACAATGAGGAAAATTGGGAGAGGTACCGTATGGCTAAGAAGGAAACTAAGAGAGCTGTGGGTGAAGCTCGTTCTAAAGCTTTTGAAGAATTTTATAAGAACCTTGAGACGAAGGAAGGAGAGCAAAATATTTATAAGATTGCCAAGAGTAGGGAAAGAAAATCAAGAGATTTAGAACAGGTAAGGTGTATTAAGGATGAAGAGGGAAGAATTTTAGTTACAGATGATGAAATTAAAAATAGATGGGAGACTTATTTTTCTAAACTTTTCAATGATGGAGAGGATTCATCTAGTAACTTGGAGGATTTAGTAACTGGTGAGTCATTCTATCGAAAAATACGTGATAAGGAGGTAAAGGAAGCTCTTAAGAAAATGGCAAATGGTAGAGCTAACGGACCTGATTGTATATCTATCGAAGCGTGGAAATGTTTAGGTGAAGAAGGGGTGAGATGGTTAACTAAGTTATTTAATGTGATTTTACGGTCCAAGAAAATGCCTGATGAGTGGAGGAGAAGTACATTAATTCCTATTTATAAAAATAAAGGAGATATTCAGAATTGTACTAACTATAGAGGGATTAAACTCATGAGCCACACAATGAAATTGTGGGAGAAAGTAATTGAGCACAGGTTGAGATTGGAGACAAGTATTTCTGAGAATCAATTTGGTTTTATGCCAGGTAGATCAACTACAGAGGCGATTTATCTACTAAGGGGATTAATGGAAAAGTATCGTTGTAAAGATAAAGATCTACACATGGTTTTTATTGATTTGGAAAAAGCTTATGACCGTATACCAAGAGAAGTGCTTTGGAAAGCGTTGGAAAAAAAGGGAGTACGGATTGCTTATATTAAAGCCATACAAGATATGTATGAGGGGGTAAAAACTAGTATAAGAACGCCTAGTGGTCAAACAAAGGATTTTCCTATAAAGATTGGGCTACATCAGGGATCATCTCTGAGTCCTTATTTGTTCAACTTGATTTTAAATGTTTTGACGGAACATATTCAAGAGGAAATCCCGAAATGTATGCTCTTCGCGGATGATATAGTTCTTATAGCAGAGACAAGAGAAGAGGTTAATTGCAAACTTGAGTTATGGAGGAGGACATTGGAGTCGAAAGGTTTTCGTCTGAGTAAAAGTAAGACGGAATATTTATATTGTAAATTTGATAAAGGACTATTCGAAAATAATTTGGAAGTGAAATTGGGAGATCAAATTATACCTCAAGTGGAAAAGTTTAGATATTTGGGAGCCATTATCCAAAATGATGGCGAAATCAGTGGAGATATTTCACATAGAATTCAAGCTGGGTGGTTTAATTGGAGAAAAGCTAAAGGAGTTATTTGTGACCGTAAGGTGCCTAATAAACTTAAAGGAAAGTTTTATCGTACTGCTATCAGACCGGCAATGTTATATAGTAGTGAATGCTGGGCTCTAACGGGACAGCAAGAGCATAAAGTTGGAGTAGCAGAGATGAGAATGTTACGATGGATGTGCGGACATACACGTAAAGATAAAATTCGAAATGAGCACATACGTGAAAAAGTGAGGGTGGCACCTATTGAGGAAAAAATGGTAGAAAATCGGTTGAGATGGTTTGGGCATGTACAAAGAAGACCAAGGGAGGCACCAGTGAGAAGAGTGGAACATATAACTTTGAGTCTGATTAAGAGAGGTAGAGGAAGGCCTAAGAGAACACTCTTGGAAGTTGTTGAACGTGATCTCTTAATTAATAATATTTCTAAAAGCTTAATAAATGATAGAGCACAATGGCGTCTTGCAATCCATGTAGCCGACCCCACCTAGTGGGATAAAGGCTTGTTGTTGTTGTTGTTGTTGGTGTTCTTTCCCCTTTAGGATCCAAGGACCAATTTTGTATGATTATGAAACTTTAGGCACTTGATTGAGAAAAATTAAACTTCAAGGATCAATTCGACAATCGTGGCAAATTTGAGTGACCAAAAGTTTCTTTTTCCCAGTATATTCCTTTTTGTGAAGAATAAATTATATAAATCTCTTGAGTTTTGTTAAAATTATTCAAGCTCCCCTTACTTTCAAAATATTTAATTTAGTTCAATTTGTTTTCTAAAAAAAACTAAAACATCCTTTCTATAAAATCTTTAAGAGGTTATTTTGTTCAGTTGACGAAAGAATGTATTTTAGTTACAAAAATAATGCATTCTGGTTAATGGAGGGTATTTTAGTATAAAAATTTAAACTTGTACAAGAGCAGTGTATCTTTTAGTTTCAATGGATGTGTGTGTTATTTTAAAAGTAAACAGCAGGTCTATTCAATTTAGTGAAGTTCAAAGGAACTTTCATAATTTACTCTTTAATAATATATCTAATTTTCTTTATATTTATCTCTTCCATATTTTTTTTCCCCGTCATGAATCCTCTCCATGTTAGTCTGCATGAAATGTAAACAAACCTTAACGTAGGTTGCCTTTTGTTGCATGTATTTATAATATTATCATATATTTCTTTTTCTTTTCCATAAGCTGTCAAGCGCATATCTCTTCTCCCTCTCCCTAGGATCGGATTATTTCTTCTTTTGCTTATACATTATTTTAATGTCAGGAAGACCGTGCAATGTTTCTGAAGTATTAGCTGACTTGGTTGATGCTGCAAGACCTCTTGCCCGGAATCAAAAACGCATGATAGAACTAAATGAACTCTCATCACCTTTGCTAGCTGCTGTAGAAGGACCTGCTTTGCGTCAGGCTTTTAGCAATCTCATTGAAGGTGCTTTACTACGTACACATGTTGGTGGTAAGGTTGAAATTATGTGTACTGATGCACCAGCAGGCGGTACCCTTGTAATCATTGATGATGATGGTCCTGACATGCAATATATGGTAACTCCAGCACACTCCCTGCTATGCTAACTTGCTGATATTTCTTAAATAAAATATATGATTGAACTGGTAACTTTTGTTATGGGTGTATGCTAGTAGCATTTCCATGGGGAACTGTGGAATGGCTTTGCTTTGAGAAACAGCATAGTGATGTCATGAAAGACATAGGGTGGAAAATAATTCTTTTATTAAACAACAACTTTACCAGAAAGTAGAGGTAGGGAATGGGAGTGTGGAGGTTAAGGTGAAGATAGTTAATCATAATAAATTAAGCAAGGATCTCACTCAATTTTTTTAATAGCTGGTGGGGAATCTCCAGAACAAAATTGATAAAGGCGGAATAACCAGTGCAAGACAGATGGTTCTACCTTATAATCTCAATAACTGATAGGACTTAATAACTGGTATAACTTCTCTACCACTAAGTAACACATACATAACCTCCTTATCTGCCAACTGGGCACGACTCAGGTAGTACTTGCTTCACCATTCTCTCCATTATCTATCTACCCTTCTGTTGACTGGTCTGACTCATTCACCATCTCTCAAGTTGATCTCCTTCTTGAGCGAGTAATTATTGTCCTCTCACGGTGCGATCTTCTGAGAGGATGTGTAATTTCAGTGCAAGGATATTAACTGAAGTTAGAAATATCAGATTAATAATCTAAAAATCAACAATCTCTTATGCTGGTATGGACAGCTTGAAACTTGGGATTCCTCGTGAATGTAGTTGTCTAACTTTCTAATCTTAAAGCCTTTGTTTGCCCCCCATGTTTTGGTAACTTGCACTCCCAGAATGCAAGTAACATGCATCATGTTGATGGACGATTGTAGATAAACCTACAGCTCTTCCCCCATTTTCATCTTTCATTGAAAGCACTGTGTCGTTGTGGTCACATTTTAACAAATCACTGGTGACGCAGTTGATGTTTTTCTAAAGTAATCTGCAGCTGAAACAAAGTAGAAGGTCACTGGAAATAATTTGTGTGCCTGTTTAAGCTGTTTATGGAAATATTCCGTCCTTATTTGTTCGACTTGATTTTAAATGTTTTGACGGAACATATTCAAGAGGAAATCCCGAAATGTATGCTCTTCGCGGATGATATAGTTCTTATAGCAGAGACAAGAGAAGAGGTTAATTGCAAACTTGAGTTATGGAGGAGGACATTGGAGTCGAAAGGTTTTCGTCTGAGTAGAAGTAAGACGGAATATTTATATTGTAAATTTGGTAAAGGACTATTCGAAAATAATTTGGAAGTGAAATTGGGAGATCAAATTATACCTCAAGTGGAAAAGTTTAGATATTTGGGAGCCATTATTCAAAATGATGGCGAAATCAGTGGAGATATTTCACATAGAATTCAAGCTGGGTGGTTTAATTGGAGAAAAGCTAAAGGAGTTATTTGTGACCCTAAGGTGCCTAATAAACTCAAAGGAAAGTTTTATCGCACTGCTATCAGACCGGCAATGTTATATAGTAGTGAATGCTGGGCTCTAACGGGACAGTAAGAGCATAAAGTTGGAGTAGCAGAGATGAGAATGTTACGATGGATGTGCGGACATACACGTAAAGATAAAATTCGAAATGAGCACATACGCGAAAAAGTGAGGGTGGCACCTATTGAGGAAAAAATGGTAGAAAATCGGTTGAGATGGTTTGGGCATGTACAAAGAAGACCAAGGGAGGCACCAGTGAGAAGAGTGGAACATATAACTTTGAATCCGATTAAGAGAGGTAGAGGAAGGCCTAAAAGAACACTCTTGGAAGTTGTTGAACGTGATCTCTTAATTAATAATATTCCTAAAAGCTTGATAAATGATAGAGCACAATGGCGTCTTGCAATCCATGTAGCCGACCCCACCTAGTGGGATAAAGGCTTGTTGTTGTTGTTGTTGTATGGATTTGGTAAAGATACTTTGTTGTCGTAATTGTACAATATTATTAAAAAAAAAAGATAGGATCAAAAGCATTAATCATTGTACATCGGGGTTAGATTACCAATGTTGAGCTTGCATGCTTCTAATGATATGGTTGCTTTTCAATACAACTTATGATGAAGTCCTTTGTTGGGACTGAGGACATTGCATTTTGTGAAATAACTTTGTTGGTGATGAACTTGTCTGCAGACCCAGATGCATTCATTAACATCATACGGACCTGAACTCTTGTCTGAAGACATGGTTGAGGACAACATGACATGGAATTTTGTCGCAGGTCTGACTGTCGCCCGTGAGATATTGGAGAGTTATGGGTGTGTTGTCCGTGTTGTATCCCCTCGGGTCCGGGATGCTCCTCTAGGGGCTGGTGGAACTCGCGTGGAACTCTGGCTTCCGTCATCTATTGCAAACTCTGATTTGAGCAGCCACGTGCAAGAGATATGATATGGCAATGCTTTTATGTTGCCCATACCATAAGAGATTAATAGAAACAATTCAAACTGATCCCATCACATGTTAGAAGGTGAATGAGATAATTAGGATAAGTTGGCATGTCATGTATTAGGAATTATTGCCTTAATCCTGTACGTAGTGCGCTTGATAACTCGTGTAGATGGTTCATTGTACAATTTTACCCTTCAGCTGGCTACGCGCGGATATTTATGTTTATGTGGCTGTGTCACTCGTTTGCCCCTTTGTGAATTCAGTATAATCAATGTAAAGGAGCTAGGGGGAAATTTGTTGGCAAGGAAATACGATGAAGCTGTATAGAATTACCTCTTCGTTGGTTTTGCCTTTCATGTGAGTCTAGTATTTTTCCACTGTTTAGTCCAGGTTTGGACTTTGGGCTGTTACTACTTTCCATACAGAAGATATGATTGCTCATCTGATATGACGGGATGTATATCGCATGATAAATTTTAAAATTATAGGATATAAATATGTATAATTGTAAGTATTTAACAATTTAGCGCAAAAATGAATAATATATAAAATTGAGTTTTAATTGTAAACAAGTATGTTGAAATTAGTGTAAAGATGTCTATACCAATTAATAAAAGAACTAACGATACAAATGTGAAAATGTATCATGCCTAATGCCTGTTGCGAGGTATATAATGCTTGTATAGTATTGTACATGTTTCTAACGTGGACATGTCTACATTTTAAGCTACAAAGGACCATTTATAACAAATATTAATGGTCTAAATTAACTTGTATTTTTACAGTTTAATATTCTACATAAGAACTGTTAAAATTTAATTTGATGGTATAGATGTGCAGTGGTCTCTCCATTGGATGAGATTCCAACACAAAAATAGTTAAACCCGCAAGATTTTTTGACCTATTCTGCTGTTATATTATAAGTTGGAAGAATTATATGGCTAAATGCCATAATTAGAGTGCTAAGGTCTTGAAGCTATAATTATGGATTGAAAGAGTGCCTGGCATAAAGAATGATCTTCCTTGCCAATGTTGTCTTCTTTCTTTTGTTTTTTTATAAGCACACCCAATATCCTAAATCTATTTCATGTCAAGTTGATGAGACTTTAATAAAAATTTAAACTAGTTTAAATGGAATTAGGGTGGAATTTTTTCAAACAAAAGCTTTACCATTAATGTTGGTGTAATTCTAGGGTTCAAATTTAAGATATTTATTTAAAATGGTTTAACTTTTTTATTGATTAAACCAAGCTTGGAGTGATCCTTGCCTACATCTTTGATTGAACTTGAAAGTTGAATGAAAGTAGATATCAATTAACAGAATGTCATACTTATTTTTCATAGGAAAAAGAGTGCCAAGACACATTAACGAGACTACAACGATGAGACACACATACAGCCGCATAATGTAGGGTTTGTAGCTCAGACTTTTATGGCGAAGGATCAGAATTCATCTCTTTTAGGGGCTTGGCAGTTGGACCAACTAGAAAAAGCTTCCGTGAGACCTGAGTTTCATGCTTTCGAGGGCAAGTTTGGGGATTGACGTCTCTGGCAGAGCATCTGCAAGTCAATGTACAATTGTACATATGCCTATGTTTGTGCAAAAGGCCAAAAAGTAACGTTGGGTTTGAATTTTAGTTGAATATAATTAATAATAAAAAAATTAATTAATATGATTGATTTAAAATATAATTAATTATGAGCCTTTTTGAATTATTATATTAATTAATTTTAAGGCTCAAATAATTTATTTTTTTTAAAAAAATACCTTAATGGTAAAAAAAATTAATAATTAATTATTGAGTTAAAATCACATTTTTAAAATAAGCTCTAAAAATTACTTATACATTCAATTTTATTGTTAAATAATATATTTTACTTCTTAAATAAAGTTTAACAAATTTAATAATATTAAATACAACTTTATCAATAATTTAATTTTAAAAAGCAATATCTTTTATGAGGATTTATACAGCTAAAATTAATTTCAATATCCCAGCAAATTGAGTTATACCATAATTAATTATAATTAAAATTAATTATATTAATCAATTATTTTCATAATTAATTATACCCAACTGAAATACAAATGGGCACTATGTTGTGTGGTACATAATTGATTTATAAGATTGACTTTAATCAAAATTGAAAAGTAGAAATGAAAAATAAAATTAAAAAGCAGAATTGAAAATAAGGTAAAATTATAGTCTTGTAAAAATATATCCAAACACCTATGTTATTGATAAGTGCATATTTTATAATTAAATAAGTATAGATTTTAGTTTGAATTTAGTTATATTTATTAAGATTTCATATCTATTTAATTGATAGTTTTATATTTTTTTCTTATCATTTAATTATAAGATAAAAAGGAATTTTAATAAAAAAATCCACTCATATTTTTTTATCTTTCTATTTTGCAGAGAAAAAAATAAACCAAAGAGAAGGAAAAGAGAAAAAAAAATATATATATATATATATATATATATTAGAGTCCCACATCGACAAAGAATCAAAGAAGGAGCCTCCACTTTAACTATAAATACTCCCTCCATCAAGAGGAAAAGCATCCAATCACTTATCTGAGTACTTCAAGAATTCTCTCTGAGATATTTGAAGGTCGTAGAAGCACTTTAAAGGCTAAAAGCAAGATCATTGAGGAGTTTCATAAATTATAATTATTTTTTTCCACTCCTTAATTTTCTCTGTGATCATTTTTCATGATTGAAGATTTTAGAATGGTGTTATTTGATTTTATTATGTATCTTTAAATTACCCTGTTGGGATAAGGATGTAGTCCAATTGGGGAGCTAGTTTTTTATTTCCTTTATTTTGACTATTTACATTTATATTTATGAATATTTTTGCTTTTTCCCAATTATATTTATTTCTCTTGTTCTTCATATTGATTTAATGACTGACCACTATCTAATCAAGTCTATGGGTAATCTTGATGGACTAAGAGGTGAAGAGAGAACTTAGATTTAGAGAAATAAATATAAATAACTAGGCTAGGGATAGTTCTAAAAATTTATGGTGACTTAAACTATAGTTTCACGGTTTAATTAGTTGTTTGGGTATGATGAGAATGAATTCAGCACTAATTAAAAAGGGACTAATAATTCAGGAGAATATTAGGACACTTTAGGAATAGTTGTCACTATAATTGATCCAAGTCAACTCAAAGAGTAAAAACTAGCAACCTATAGGGTGAATCCTAAACCCTAACGCTTTAAGTGATTGTGTTTTCATCATCATTATTTTCTTGATTTATTTTTATTCTTATATTTTCATCAAAATTATCCATTTTATCAATTTTTCTTAAACTATTAATTATTTAAATTAGTAAAAGTGTAACTTTCTTTGTGTGTTCGACACTTGAAATACTCTGGGTAATTTATTATTGTGATCTTGTACACTTACGAGAGCAATCATGTTTTTGGCACCATTGCTGGAGAAGTCACAAATTTACTAACTATTTAATTTTTAGTACATTTTAATTTTAAATTTTAATTTTTTTTAATTTTTATTATTTTTTTATGCAACTGAAAAGTTTTGGTGATTTAAGTTTGATTCTTATTAATCTAGAAATTGAACAGTTTTGCAAGGAAAGTAGATCTCAAAGAAGAAGAAAGATGGATGACGAAACTATTATAGAGCCATCCATTACATTTAAAGATATTCAATGCCCATTCATCATATCTAATCCGTCATGCATCCAACTGAGTACGAGAGTGCGTAATTATGAATTTAAGAATATTCATTTAAATGTACTACCTAATTTCAACAAGCACCTAACTGAAGATGCTTTAGATTTTATACGAGAATTTTATGCAGTAATTGATACACTACCGCTAAATAATTTATTAGATGATGATTTAAAGTTGCGCTGCTTTCCATACTGTTTAAAAGGAGAAGCTCATCAATGGCTTTTATGAATACCGGAAGCTTCCATAAGCTCTTGAACGGAGATGTATGAGCAATTTATATTGAAATATTATTCTGCTCAAAAGACTTCAGAATTAAGGGATAAGATTCACTTCCTTACACAGCAAAATAGTGAATTATTCCATGAGGCCTGTGAACGTTATAATTTCCTCATAAGCCAATGTCCCTATCACCAACTTCCACACATACTTTTGATGGATTTTTTTTATGATGGGCTTAATGCTGAATGCCAATCAAAAGTTGATAATATAGCTCAAGGTGATCTAAGTAATATGACAGTTGAAGAAAGGAAAGAGATTTATAAAATGTTAGCAGCAAATTCAAGGCAGAAGGCAGTTCAAGGAAGGAGTGCGATGATTAATGAAGTTTCCACATCAGATGTCTCATATGAACTACGGGATTTAACAAAGAGTTTGAATTTATTATTGAAAAATTTTAGTTATGTTAATTCCCTTTCTTCTACTAATAATTCTCTTCATATAGGTTGTGGTGGTGACCATGTGGAAGAGGCTAATTATATGGGAGCTAGTAATGATCAAATTAATTTAAGGAATGACCCATACTCCAACATATACAACCCTGCATGGAGAAATCCTCTACTCAGGGGCCACAAGTACAGCCAAGCTTTCAACAACAAAGAAACACAATTGAAGATCGTACAATGAAGTTGGAGGAAGCTTTGGCTCAAATGGCGACTTACCAAGTGAATAGCATGAAGAGCATTAATCAAGAGATTGACCAATTAAAACAAATAATTACTTCAACTCAAGCTTTTATGAAGAATATAGAATCTCAAATGGGTAATTCTTTGAGGAATATGGAGACTCAAATAAGCAATTTGGCTAGCTTAGTTACTGGAAAGAGTCAAAATAAACTTTCAAACAATACCGAAGTCAATCTACAAGAGCAAATCATGGCAATCACCATACAAAATGGTAAGGAATCCTAAGAGGTTGATAGTGGAGCTAAAAATGGGCATTCTCTCTCTGAAGCCAAACCTTATATGCTCCCCATTCCATTCCCCAAGCACCTTCCAAAAAAAGATCCAAATTTATGCTTCCAAAAATTCCTTGAGATGTTCAAGAAAATTTAAATTAATATTCCCTTTATAAAGGCATTGGCAAAGATGCCTGCTTATGCCAAATACATCAAGGAGCTGGTTTCAAGCAAGAAAAAGTTAGAAGAATTTGCCACGGTTACACTTACAGAGGAGTGTAGTGTGATTTTACAAAAAAAGCTACCACCCAAATTGACAAATCCAAGGAGTTTCACTGTTCCTTGTGATATTGGTTGTAATATTATTGAAAATTATTTATGTGACTTGGGTGCCAATGTTAACTTAATGCCTTATTCTCTATGCAAGAAACTTGGTATAATAGATATCAAGCCAATCAATGTGACTCTTC